TATATATATATTTAAGATTATTTATTTAAATATAGTATTTAAGTATATATTTATTACAGTATAATAATCTTCAGATGACACGAACCTGATTGATTCTTATATTCAAGATAGCCTTAGTATTATATATGTCTTAAAATATCATAAATTAATCAGAAAGTCATATTAATATTTTAAGACATTACTTAAGACGATCTTAAAATAAAAACGGACTATAAATACCGGCCTTATGTATTCATAATCGGTTCTTATTTTAAGATCGTCTTAAGTAATGTCTTAAAATGTTAATACAGTCCTCTGATCATGATATCTTAAAACTGTACTTAAAACAATTCTAAATATAAGATCCGTCACTAATATCATTTTATGAATATAAGGCTAAAGAGCCGTTCATTTCATTTCTAGAGATTTCAACGTTTCACCGATGGCAACCATCGCGGCACTAAGAATCCATGAAGAAATATCTGATTGGCTATTGAAATCAGCCGAAAACACAACTCTCGATTGGCCGACGTCGCGATATCGCAATCTCATTCGATGGCAACCAATTTGTAACCAAAAACATTTCTTTTATTACATAATATTTTCGCGGAATAACCGGCGAAAAGCCCGTAAAACTGCCAAATCGGTCGTCGTAGAACGAACAGCGCGGATCGTGTCGCGTTGAATCGATTTCCGGCGAGTTTCCAGGAGCGATAGAATGGCGTTGAAATCGATTTGCCGGCTGTCAATTGATTCGACCTTCAGGCAGTCGAGCCATTTCGGAGCCACCGCCCGGCTGAGACGACCGTCCTTTGACACGCTCCTACGAAGTTTTGCCGCAGCAGCTAAGAACATGGCACTGCCACGCGTTTTCTTCGACATGACCGCGGACGACAAGCCCGTGGGCCGCATCGTGATGGAGGTGAGCCGAAATTATCGTGCGATCGCGGCGTAAAGCCGTCCCCGCTCCGACCGCGCTCCTTGTGATCCCGGCATGCCTGGCCATCTTGATTTTTCCACCGAGCCGGTTCCAAGATTCAATCGGGTTTGCATCTCGCATGACGATCGTTGATCGTTCTCGTCCACGTTGTCCGTCGTTATCGTCGTATGAATGTGATACCGAATAATCGACAGCTGATGGACGCGATCGGCGACTGTCGTCGCGAGGACGCGATATCGCGATCCCGTGAAGTCACGCCGAGCGCGCGACCGTCGTTGGCGATGCGTCACGGTCGCGCGACCACGCACATCGCACGTTTTGGCCATTACATTGAGAAATTTTCCATTGACAACGAGCAAGCGACCGGACTGTCCGCGTGCGTACCAGGAGATGCACATGCGTAATTTACATCGCGAATCGAGGAAGTCGCAATTTGCAATTTGTGGAAAATCGGCGGATATATAATAATTACTCGATATTGAGATAAGCATGTAAAAAAAGTGATTCGCTCGTAGAGGTTATTATACAATTTAGTAATATGATTAGATAAGATTCTCTTGTTATGTTTCTTTTTTGTTTTTTTTTTTTAAATAAATTAATGCGTTCGTATTTATACAAATTTTTTGCTTTTTATAAAGATAGATTTTTCTTCTCTCGTGAAAAAAAGATTACGACGAATAAAAGTGCTGTTTATTAATCGGTGTGTTATATAATTAGCTTCTTTGCGCTACGCTAAACATAGACTTGCACACGATGGCAATTTTCATATTTTTATGCATAATGCAGAAGAATCAGCTTTTTTAACATACGAGTTTAGAATTTTAAACACAGATGGCGACAGCTGGAGCAGTAGCATATATTTATCTTCTATCACGTTTTACTTTTAATATTTCTTTATAAATTAATTTATAAAAGCTAAAAATAATTTTTTCTTTTGTTGCCTTACCAAGGCATAAATTGTGCAGAAGTGCTTAGCATGTTGTATATTTTTATTAATGTATATAGAATACTTAT